CGGGGCGGGGTGTGTGGCCGTTTTTGGCGAGGGTGTCGGGGGGCAGCCGGGCCCTGCGCGGGGGTGGTGCAGTGTGTCGCGGCGTGCCCCGGGGAGTCAGGCCTGAGAGAGGGCGGTGAGTTGGTCACAGCAGCTGGAAGCTGCCCGTGGGGTTATCGTGCGATGCTAATTGGCTTAGTAGGTGAGGTGTGCCAAGTGAGAGTAAGGTGGTGCAGCGTGGTCCAGGTGGTGAGGAAGGCATCGCTGCACCTCAGTCCTTGGGCTTAGCTACAGCACCACTGTGGTTTTGGGCAGTCACAACCTTCCAGGTGCAGTGAGCAAATGCACACTTGCCAAACTCTGCTCAGGTGATTGCATGATCAGCCTGTAATCCCTTTGGCTAGCAGAGGTGTTTTGCGGTTCAGATGCTATCCTCAGTTCTGTCCTTATGCTTTGTGAGGACTGTCCGTCTGCAAGAGCCGCTCTGCTGAGCATTAGCACAGGTACCAGCCAGTGTGTGCTGGCAAAGCTGTCTGCACTTGAAAAGAAGTCTGGTAAGCCACAGTAAAGTGTTTGATACTTCTCTGCAATACAAAAGCCCTCCACGCTTATGTCTGTGTGGGTGTAGGCATATTAAAAAAAACAATACATGGCATCAGAAGGGATCTGAGATGTTATGTGTGCCAAAGGTACTGTTGGCTAATTCACCTGTAAATAGAGCCTTGCTTGCTTTTTAGTTGAGGAGCCAAAATCACTCCACATGTGTTGGCTAATTTAATTGTCTATGTGGGTATGCTGGGAACAGTTGCTGGTGTAATTAGCAGTAGTAATGCAGCGAGCCAGTGAGAATGGAGGACTCCTGGCCCAAACAAAGCTGGGTTAGGCATGAGATCTGCCAGTGGAAATTGTTGCATTGAAGGATGCGGAGTTGGTGTTCTAACAGAAAGTCTCCTGGGGTTTGTATGCCTAAACCAACTCTACTTCTGTAAAAGAAAGTCAGTACTTCTCTAAGATCTTCCGTGTCTCTGATGCAAGCCTAATACGTGATTATTTTACTTAATAAATTACTGACATAAATTCTAAACTGGGTTTAGATCAAATTGTGTATTATACATTGAAAGCAGTTACTGCTTTTGTTTTTCCATAGGTATTAATTGTAACAATCTTATCTATTCCAGAGATACCAATCTCCTTTCATACAAGTGGAGGCTCTTACCTTAAGTGCATTAAGTTAGTGTAATCAAGTTAAATTCAGCAACTGTATTTATTTTAAAGATTTGGTCCTTCTTTTTTTAGACCCAGCAAAGAACTTGTGTTTCAAAAAACTTGCTGGTTTTTTGATATACATGAAATTTAATAATGCTTTTCCTGTATAACTCTCTGATCTTACTTGATATCTGTAGTAGATCTATAGCTATGAGATCCTACTACAGGAGATGTCAATACGGGCTCTAGAAAAATGTTCCTGTGCTGTTTTGGTACTTCTTCCATTTCTTACTTGCGTTACTACCTTTTGTCTGTGCCAGAACCTCTGTGCACATTTTTGTCCCATTTTAAAGGGAATGAGGAACACAGTGTTCACCCTGTGACTCTTCTTCAGAAAAAAGATTTTGTTTCCCTACCCACTATGTTTTTGATGAATGCTTTTCTGTTACCAGAGTAGTTTTAAGATGTCCTAATGTTCCTGCCAGAGAACTTTCTGAAATAACTTGTTCTGTGCTAACAGCAGCCTATCCCTTTTCAGAACTGGCCTTGTTTCACCTGTACAAAACTTGAGACTCATATGGATGTCCACATGCTAAATTTTGTGAACTTTGCTCAGAGTAGCAGATATCTAAGTAACTTATCTCTTGGCACTTGCCAAACACGATTACCTATACACATAGCTAGCAGTGTTAGCTAAGATGTGATCAAACTGGGTATGTAGTGCTAAAGGTTGCAGTGTAAGCGCCAACGTGCTCTACCTTTAGCTGAGAAGGAAGGTATAAATCCTTCATACCATAGTTCATCAAAGATTAAAACCTGCTGTGACCAAGGGTGCATTTCTTGCATAGCATTTGTATACTGGGAAATAAACAGCATTCTTTTGAGGACTTAAATGCCTGATCAGTGTCAGCATTACTGTGATGAGTACAGGCTGTGAAGTTAAATGCTTACCTGAGATGGTATGATTCAAGCCTGTGACATTTACTTAATGCAGAGAGGTGATGAGAAGAAAATCAACTGCTTTGCAGTGCATTCCTAAACAAAATACTCCACTCATTTGCAAAAGCTGCTCACCTCAATAGTGGTAGTAGTAGTAGTTAAAAAGCTAGTAGTGGCAGCCAGTAATTTACCTGGTCTGTTTTGGAGATTTAAAAGGATATTGTGTTCGGAAGCTCCCTATGCTGGCAGTTTTTCAGCAAGGTTGAGACTCTGACTTGGTCTGTGTATGGTTTCTTGATGACAAGGAGTGCCTACAAAGCAAAAAAGTAGATCAGGAAAAAAGTCTTCTTTTAGGACCACAAAAGTACTAGCTTGTGAGCACTAAAGTCATTCGATCAAGCCATAAGTTTTCATTCGTAATTGCCTCGCATTTCTGCTTCAGATGCTCAAGGGGCAACTATCACTTTTTGATTCTAGTTTTTGAGTCCATGTTCTCTCAGAGCGGAGATGGAAACCCATGATGGGAGGGGTGGGGAATTTCTAAAGCAGATGAGGGCAGGTGTTCCCTGCCTCTTGTCAAATGGTAAATCAATCCTGTGCTGTGCTCTAGAGGAGAGTAGGATCAATCTGGAGATGATACAGAAACAGGACAAATGGGTCAGATGTGCAGATGTAAGCTTATATATTTGTTGAAACAACACTCAGAAACAAGTGCTTTTCAATTTTCAAATATTGATGTTTGCATTTTTTTCTCTTTATGGGTTATTCTATCTGGTAAACATTTTCTTTTATCAGGTACCTAAAGAAATAGCCTCAAGATGAACTTCCTTCTGGAAACATTCAAAGTCATCGGACTTATTGTTTATTACTCACTGGAGTCGCTAGTATTCTTCATTGTGCCTAGGCGGAAGAAGAATGTTAGTGGTGAAATAGTATTAATAACAGGAGCAGGAAGTGGCATTGGAAGAATCTTATCTTTAAAGTTTGCCAGCCTTGGAGCCACAGTGGTTCTCTGGGACATTAATCAAGAGGGGCTCAAGGAGACAAGTAGACTGGCGAGAGAAAATGGAGCAGTGAGAGTGCACTGTTATGTCTGTGACTGTAGCAAAAGGCAGGACATCTACAGAGTAGCTGATCAGGTAAAGTATCTTATTTGTGGCTTTGACACTAATCTGAGTGCTTACACGTGTGTATGATGTATGATAAGTTTTAGCAACTTTAATCTCTTGATTTAAAGTTAATTCATTCAGAATGTATTGTGCATGCTACCTATTTCAAGAATACTGTTTTTTTTAGGATTGACTTGTGTATCTATGTTCCTTTAAAAATAAAAAGAGCTGGTTTTGTTTTCAGTAGCTAATTTCAACTGGGTGGCTTCTTATTCATTCGAATACTGAACAAGCGCTTACTGGTGAAGTGCAGAAAATGAGTTTATTGAAGCTAAAGCAGCATTTCAAGTTCTGGCAGCCTTTTACCAAAAGTAAACCCTAAAGACCGTACATTGTAAAAAGGATTAACTGCTTAGGCAATTTTCAGATAATTCCATGGTTGTGAATAGATTCTTGCAGACTCAATTTATCAGAACTAATAAATGTATCTTGAAGTCTTAAATATTTCTTACTTTCCTTTCTGAAGAGCTCTGTAAATATAGCATGTGGTTAGATATTTTGGGCAGACTAGTAGAATTGCCAAAAGCTAAAATTGCTTAACAGTTTCCATTATAACAACCTGTTCTCATTTGCTTAAAATGTTGCTAAACTTAACTATTGGACTAGAAAGTTTCCACAGTGAGTATTTGCCTGAGGATGGATTTAAAAAAAAAAAAACAAAAAAATTGTTCAGCTGTCTTCAGGAACATCTGTTAGCTGCAATAATGTTCCCCTTTTGGTGCTGTTTAAGAAGCTCTAGCCTTCTATATTTTTCTATCCATGCAAAAATGACTAGAAAAATCTTTCTGATAAGTGAATCTTGTGCATGACTTGCAGCTTATTTCTGGTACTATTGCTTTTGTATTCTGGTAATGCTGATCACCCTTGGTTCCCCCAGCAGCTCCGTTACGCTGGTTGAGTCTGCTGTCCCCGCAGAGCAGTTGCACATGTCTCGTCCCAGGCCTGTAACCCTCCTTACTGCTGCACTGGGAGGGGGGG